GAGAGGAAGAGAGAGACAGTAGCATGACAGATTGGTAAATTAAAAAAAAAAAATTAATCATTGGGTTCTTGTCTCACACTGGAAACAGAAATTCCAGAAATTTTAAGAACAAAAGTTTTAGTAGAAATAATAGGGAATATATTTCTGACTTTCAGATGAGGATTTCTTAATCAGAACACAAAGCCTATGCTGTTTTATGTTAGCCATAAAATTTAAAAATTATAAATTTGACTAAAAAATGAAAATCTGAAAGAAAAAAAAGCCACAACTAGGAGAATATATTTGCTGAACATATTACTGAAAAAAGAAATTAGAATCAAGACTGGCCACTGCTGGCTTTGAAGATGGAAAGGGACCATGAGCCAAGGAATGCAAGCGACCTCTAGAAGGTGGAAAAGCCAGATAAATGAATTCTCCCTTTTAGCTTCCAGAAAGGAACGCAGCCCGACTGACACCTTGATTTTAGCCCAGTGAGACCCATTTTGGACTTCTGACTTCCAGAACTGTAAGGTAATCAATTTTTGTTGCACAAAGCCACTAAGTTTGTCTTAATTTGTTTCAACAGCAACAGGAAATTAACTCAGTGTATATATGTGTAAGGATGGAGGCGGGTAGAGGAGGATAAAAGGGATTTCCCAGGGAGGAGGGAGGAAACCTTTACTGTCCCCACAGAGACTTGGCTTTCAGTCCTGGAGCCAGCAGTACCCCGCTTCCCCTGCAGGGTCCCCTTCAGTGTCCCCCACAAGCATCGCCTGAATACCCGCAGGAGTCTGACAATCTGCAAGGCCCTGGAGCACTTGCTCCCTCTACTGATCCCAAAGACCCCTTGTCAGGTGGACGGGCTCTAGGCAGTCAGTTCTCAATGTACGAAAGAGGAAACTGAGGCCTGGAAAAGGGAGCTTTAGCCAAGAGCAGTATTCCATCTAAAGGTAGAAAATGGCCAGATACCACACTTGAAAACTCGTGCTTCCCATGAGGACAGCCTGCTCCTGCCACAAACTCCCCACAGCCAAACAGGTCCTGACAGACACCTGTCCACATCTGAGCTAAGAATGCCGCCCAACGATCGCCAGGTATCATCACAATTGCCACCTTCCACACCCTCTCCATCCATCCTCCGGGAGACAGGACCACAAGCCAAAGCCAGGGCCCACCTGATCACAACCCAGGCACAGCCAGATCTTTGGGAGCTCATTCTCTGCCATGGGTTTGCTAGTAGTGCACAACCACGGGGTGAGGCGTTAAAGTGCAGGGTGTTGGCAACAGAGAGAAATAATCCCTATCTCTCAATAGAAATGAAAATGATGGCTTACATCCTTCAACCTGAATAAGACAGAGGGGAGACAGTTCAAAGGTCAACAGACCATAGGGCCCAAGGATGGTGGTGCAGACTGACCATGATGTCCTCCCCCATTTCCCCTATTTACATGCTGAAGTCCTAGCCCCAGTGTGAAACTATTTGGAGATGGGCCTTTGGGAGCTACTTAGGGTTAGTTGAGGTCCTGAGGGTGGGCCTTCATGATGGGATCAGCGGCCTTATAAGGAGAGAAAGGGACCTCTCTGCCTCCACCTGCATGCACTGAGGCAAGGCCATGGGAGGCACAGCAAGAAGGTGGCTGGCTGTGAGCCAAGAAGAGGACTCTCATCAGAACCTGCCCCTGCTGCTACCCCGACCTTGGACCTCCAGCCTCTGTAATTATGAGAAAATAAATTTCTGTGGTGAGCGACTCAGTGTATAGAACTTTGCTGTTGTAACCTGGGCCGACGAAGGCACGTGGGAATGAGGGAGCAAATGAGCCGGAAGGCTGGGATGCTGTGCTCAGAGAATGGGATGTCCGAGTCAGAGACGCCTTCATTTATCCACTCAGGTGTCAGACGTTTTTGAGATTTTAGAGGTGGAGATGAATATTCTCAAGCCGAAGGCAGGAGCCGGAGTGGAAGGGACGACTATGAACCACGTAGTTTTAGATGAATGAGACTGTGTGAGCTGGAGGGCAGGAGGTGGGAGCAAGGACGAGATAGGCTGCTATAGAAGGAGATTTTTCCAAGTGGGAAGGGCTGAAATAGTTGAGCGGCAGCCACGGGGAGCAAAGAGGCTCTCACCCCCGCTTCCTGGATGCATGACCAGAGAAAGAAAGGGCTAAGGACACGGGCTCCTGCTGGGTTTGGAGCAGTTCCAGAGACATAGGTTTGAGACCGTGGGTGGAAGGAGGTGGGGTGGGGGCCAGGTCAACAGGGCTGGAGTCAGAGGGGACAGTGTCAAAGTAGAGGAGTTGGCTGGGGAAGTGCGGGGGTGCCTCTGGCTTGCGACACTGATATAGTGAACACAAGATGCACAGTACAGTGGTCAGTCTCAGGGGTCTCTCAGAGGAGGGTAAGCACTGGGCCTAGTGGCCAGGGGACTTGTCCTGGGTAGAGCCAAAGGAAACCCTGAAGCTAAGCTATGTGCCCAGGACACAGGCCAGGGGAACAACCAACCAAAGGGTCTTGATCTCCAAACTTGCTCAGATCCCGCCTCTCCACAGTTGCGCTGCCATCGATCACCCCATTTCATCACTGGGATGTTGTGAGGAATGACTGAGGTCATAAATGTTTGCAGTTAATTTCGTCGTTGTAATGAGGCCCAATCTGGTTTCTCTGCTTCTACTTTTGCCTTCTTCCAACACATTTTTCAAAAAGGGTAAATTTAAAACTACAAACCTTATCGGGTCTCTCCTTTGCAAAATGAAAAAAGGAAACCAGAGGCTTTTCTTGCCCTCAGAACAAAGTCTAGAATTAAGGACATGGCCTTACAAGCCCCACGTAGTTCTGGTTCCTCAGACTCCCAGAAATCTTTGCAACCGCAGAAGCTGCCCATTCCATCTTCACTTGTAAAGTGCAGCTGCATCTCCTGCCTGCCTTCTCTTCATCTGGCCTGCAGTTCCCTCCCTGGGTGTCCAACCTCAGAGGGGTCTTTCGGGCCTGTCATGTGGAGTCATTTGCTTTGTTTAAAACCACAGTGTCCTCTCCTCCTCATCCATGGCATCCTTCCAAGGTTCTGGAAGCAGTTTCACAGCTGCAGATAAACTGTCCACTTCTGAGTCCAGCATGTTCTCAAAGGCAGGGCAAGGCACATGGGCCCTCCCTGACAGATAAGTGGGTAAGTGGGTCAGCAGATAAGGCAAAGCCCAGGGCTTTATGAGTAAGGGTCACCATTGAGGACTCGCTGCCCAGTGTATGACAGTTACTTAGAAATGGGGTGTGGCCCTCTTCTCCCATCTCCTTGGACCTTGAGGGCAGAGACTGCTGGAATCCTTTGCCTTTCACCCTCGCCAAGATCAAAATCCTCGAAGATTAGTGTAAAAAGACCTACAAAGTCATCCTTTTGAAAATGGGAAGCCCGAGGCCCAGAGTAGGAGGGCTCCAGCCCCCAAAGCCTGAGATGCAGGTCCAGCACTAGCCTCCACAAAGCTAACCGCAACACGAGTCATGGGTCCACTGCTAACACGTCCCCTGAATCGGGGCTGTTTTGTGCTCGCCAACACCCTAGGGAGAACAGCCACCGCCCAGCCCAAGCTGGCCACTGCTCCTCAGGGGACAGTCAGGGTCAGGCCTGCACATCTTCTCAGAGGTCCCAGGGTCTCAGCTGCTGCTCTCCCATCAGCGACCACTAAAAGACCAACATTTTACCCATTGTCCAGAACCAGCTACAGGGCACTATGTAATACATACAGAGAAAAATCTTTCTCCCCAGGGGTCCACAATCCCTGAAGAATGAATCTCTAAGGACCTGCCAGGAGACAATAGGTGATTCTTTGCATTATGCTCGTGGCATCAAGTCTCTTCCCAGGATCATGTTTATTGTGCATCAAAGGTATGCAAGTGTCCACACCTGAGAGGAAGTTGCCTTCAGCTTTGCAATGGCTGATTCCTCACTCTTATTAAAGTTTTTTTTTTTTTCATCTTGGAAGTTTCAGCCTAGGTGCCACATTGTGCCCAGAAAGACTTTTGGGTGTCCCCAAGGGGAGGGTTAGGCTTGAGACTCCATGACAGAGAACTTGTCAGGAAGCTAAATAGAACTTTTGCCAGCCCCTTCAAAGCAGAGAACTGTGAATAACAAGTATCTATATATTTGAAAGACAGGTGCTGGACGCTTCCATGGTAGATTGACAAAGAGAGCAAAACTGATCCAGCACCTACCACCACCTCTTGACTCTAACAGAGAAGGTGAGTGTGAGGGAGGGAGGTCTGAAAGAACCCTTCTTTGGGATGGGGGTGCCTGTGAGAAAGGGAGATTGGAACCTCACTGTCTGAAGAGAGGTCAGCCAGAGATGCCTTTGAAGGCACACAAAGGAAGGGGTAGTGGCCAACCAAGCTCTTTTTCTACTCTTGGTGGCACAAGGATGTACGTGTTCTTGTAGGCCCAGTAGCTGCTGGGGAAGGTAGCCTGGCTCGAGACCCCACATGAGAGGATGGTCCTCTAAGGTAAGGTATGCCAGCAGTAAGAGGGACAATGTGGGGAGCAATACCGGGAGCAGGAGCTGAAGAGGGTCCCGAGGTCAGTGGAAAGCCACGAAGCCGCCCCATGGAAGGGCTGGCTTTTAGACGCTTGCTGGAGTGTACTGACTGATGATTAGCCAGCAGGACCTAGAAAGAACTACTACAACCAGCAGCAGCTAAATCAAAAGGCCTCTCTGTCTTTTCCCTTCACCCTGTACGGGCCCTGCAGGAGCCAGAAACAGCAGACCGTGAAAGGGAGGAGAGGGACATGGAGAGGGACGGAACCCATCTCCCCTCTTTCCCCACTGCTGGTCCCTGACCCACACAGGTCAGGCAAGTGCTGAACATGGGGTGGGGGCATGAAGGATCTTCGAAGAGAATGCAAGGCTAGAGTTTGATACCAGCTGGACATAGAGTCTTCTCTCAGCAGGATCAGATGTCCTGCAGGGACCCCACCATAGCCAGAGGGGCCTGGGCGAACCAGCAGAAGGAAGCACTACCTTCTCTTTACACACGGCCTTTTCATCCACCTTCCTGGATGGAATCCACAACTTTAAGATATTTCTTCTTATACTCTACACACTAGGAAGGGCTCTACCTGGGTGTCCTGTTCTAGGTTTCACTGTGGTTTAAAGGAAAGGGGACCCCAGATTGAGGGGATCGTGGGAGCCACACTCCCACAAGACTATCAGAGAACAGAAAACCCCGGAGACCCTTCCCCAGAAGACAGTGTTGGGGGTGGGGCTCTGGGGATAAGAAAGATGATGAACGGAGGGAGCCCCTGTCCCAGGTGCCTCTGGGACTGGGCTCGGCAGGGAGGGCTGGCGCTGAGTCAGGTCCTGGTGTGTTGCCTCCATCAGCAAAGCTGGTCTTGCTTGCCAGTCCCAGCCATGTGCAGGGGGATGAAATCAGAAATGCGTGTTGTTCACGAAGGCCCCCCCTGGGATGGATGTTTTCCCTGAGGCCTCCGTTTCCTTTTCTGAGGGTGCTAACTTCAAAGTCCTGGAGGGAGCAGAAGGCCAACCATGAACTGGTACCGTGAAGGTGTCCCTCACCACCCCTCCACAAAATAGGGGGAATCTAACCCAAAGCCAGATATCTGAGTGTCCTGAGGCCCTCCTCCACTACCCCAATGTCAGCCTCTAAGCAACAATGGATTAATGTGTGAGGTGGGGGCCACTGATGTGAGGCCTGGGCCCTGAGCTTCTGAGAAAGCAAGCAGCTCACCGGGGTTGCGGCCCCTGCTCCAGGTCCTCGATAGTATCCTTCAGGGGCTGGCCACGTGTCTCTGGCAGCAGTACACAGAGCAAGCCCCCCACAATGGGGAAGGTGCCAATGATGATCATGGGGAGCGCTGCATAGTACTCGCCCAGCAGGATCACTAGAGGTGCGATGATGCCCCCGGCCCTTGAGAAGACAGCCACCAGTCCCATGCCCGACTGCCTAGGGGAAGACCAGTACAAACTAAGCAGACCCAGTCTACGGCCATGCTACCCTGAACGAACCCAGTCTCGTCAGATCTCGGAAGCTAAGCAGGGTTGGGCCTGGTTAGTACTTGGATGGGAGATCACCTAGGAAGACCAGGTGCTGTAGGCATAAAAAATAAAAAAAAAATTTTTAAATAAGGGATTGTAAGCTGACAAGGTCCTTACAATTTGTTAGGTCAACCAAGTGTTGCCTCACCTAAAAAAAACAAAAAAAGAAAGAAAGAAAAACTAAGCAGACCCTGCCTCAACTCTGGGCCACAGTGCCACCTTAGCACACTTCCTCAGGAGAGCCCAGACCCCTCGTTATGGGCATCCAGGCTCATCCGGCCTACCCATCCTTCCCCCTGCACAGTGAACTTCTTGTAGTCTGACTGTGTGCCATGTTTCTCCAACCTCTAGGCCTCTCGGTCTGCCTATTACATGCCTGCTCACCTATTAAGTGTCAGGTCAAAGGTTGCACTCCCTACCACCCGACCACCTGCCATGCCCTCCTGACTGCTCCTTCTTCTGAGTCATTCATTCTTAGACTTACTCCATACACTAGTCCTGACAAGGCCGCAGCATGGCCAACTTCTCGATCTGTCCTCCACCAGCGTAGGGAATAACCTGAGAGCTTGGACTAGATTTCTAGTTCTTCTGGACCCCACCCAGCACTGTCATCCCAGAGCCAGCCTCGTAAGCAATTTGTGAAGCGCCAATGAGGGCGGAGGAGAGATTGTCAAAATAACGGCCTCGGAAGCAGAGGAGCAGGAGCTGCTCCACGGCCCTTACCTGAGGACAGTGGGGAAGAGCTCAGCAGAGTACACGTAGGAGATGGTAAATCCAGAAGTCGTGGCGAACTTCCCCATCACGGCCAACACAGTGACCACTGTGGGCAGATCTGGTGAGAGATGCTGGTCAGCAGCATGAAGGGTACACAGACCCATCACCTGGGCCCTGCTCCTTGCCCTGCTCAATCCAACTCCTCACCCCGTCTGAAACTGAACCACAGGGATGCCCTCACTCCAAAAAGGGGAGCAATGGGCCTCTGGCCACAGATGAGTGAGGGTGGGAGCGGTCAGGGGAGAGTCACCCTTGGTACCTGCTGGGATGAAGATGATGATGATACACATGAGGCCCCCCAGAACCAAAGTCCCCAACTGGCTCCACTTGCGGCCAAACCACTGCATCATGAAGATGCTGAGGAGGCGGGCAGGCACCTCGACTGCTCCAAAGATTAGCTGGGTCAGGTAGATGTTCAGGCCAAACTCCTCCACTTGTAAGCTCAGGCCGTAGTAGCCCAGACTGTCCACGAACCTACAAAGTGTCCAAGAGTCCTTGTCACTGCTAGGTGATGAGACACCATCACACTCAGAGAGGCTGCCTTGGCCAGAAGTCACAACAGGAGACAGTAGCACAGCCAGGGAGAGTTCCCGTCATTCCCACACAGCCCATCCCAGCCAGAAAGCCACCTTCCTGCATCCCATCGACACACAACAGCAAAGTGGCCCTTGGCTCGTGCCTCGAGGAGAAGCATGGGTCCCAGGGCGCTCACCAGACTAAGAAGAGAATCAGGGTCATCTTCCGGAGCTGGGGTTTTCTTAATAGATCCAGGACATTCCCTGAGGGGCCTGTCTTCTCTACAGCCAGCTGAGAAGAAAATGCCAAGTGAGGGGCCTGTGGAAAGGTCTGTGTGTGTGAGATCTGGGGGCAGGGCAGGGGCTGCGTGCTGGGAGTACCTGGCTCAGGAGCTCTGGGGAGAGTTTCCGCCTGTTCACCAAGGCTGCTTTCTGGATCACTTGTTTGGCCTCTTCGACTCTCCCCTTGATCAGGAGCCACCGTGCAGATTCTGGCAGAACCCTGTAGGTCAAGAATGGCTGTAAACTTGGGGCACGGGGTCCTAGAATCCCCTAACCCCCCACCCCCCCACCCCCAGCTTTGCGGCTGTTCCAGTGCACGCTGAACCCCACACCCCTGCAGGCTCCCTCTCTCTGAAGCGGTCTCCAAGTGTTCCCCCAAGGTGCACGTGTGTGCTACACCCTAGGCAGCTCCCGGGAAGTGTCTCCTCACCACAAGTAGAAGAAGAGCAGCAAGACAGGCGCTGAGCCGGCAATCTGGAGGTGCCTCCAGTTCTGGATGCCGTAGGCCAGACCTGCCAGCACAATCTCTCCAAGGGAGAAGAAGCACTGGATTATGACCATGGCCTGGGTCCTCCACGAGGGCCCCACCCACTCTGCAACTGGAACAGAGAGACGGCGACTGAGCCAGATCCCACCCTCTCACTCCCTGTCTCCCTAGACACAGCCCTGTCAAGGTTGGGGCCTCAGTCCCAGCTCAGGAAGTGCAGGTATGGCTTCAGAAGAGGGTTCCTGACAAGTGCCCACCCCCGCCCCCACACTCCCAGTCAGTCTGGGGAATGTAGCCAGACGCCACAGCCTCAATCTATGGCTGAAGGCTTCAGGGCTCAGATACCCACGTAGGGAAATACCGCTGAAGGCATATCCAGAGACGGCAGTAGCCACAGCAAAGCGCAGGACCATGTACAGATCGAAGCTGTTCACAAAGGCAGTGGACAGGCCCATGACGGCAAAGATTAGCAGCTGCACCAGGATAGCGGCCTTGCGGCCAATCCTGGAGAAAGAAGGAGAGAAGGCTCTCTGAGGCGAAGGAGGCAAGGGAGGACCCAGCCCTGCCCTGGGTTCTCTGTGAGGAAGGACACGTGGCCACACCACGGGAGCCCCGTTTGAGGGACACCAGTGTGAGAAGCAGTGGGGACGCCTGGCCCTGTGCCAGAAGCCTAAGAGCATGCTAGGGCAGGGGTGGGCTGGCCAAGGTTCTTACCGATCACAGACGGGCCCAAAGATGAGAGCGCCAACGAGGAGCCCCGCCATATACACTGATTGTGAGGTCTCCCTCAGTGGCTTCCGGTCACAAACTAGGTTGAACTGAGGCAGACACAGGCAGATGTGAGTCTAGGGGCAGCTGAGGGCAAGGCTTCTATAATCCAGCCCACCCACTACCAACTTCTCAGGGCAGATGCCCACAGTTCCCAAGGCACCCCAGGGAACCAGAGTGAACTCAGGGGGCACACACAGCATGATGTTTAAAGTGTTTAGGGAGAATACAGCAATATTCAACACCTGTCTGGTATCACATGAACTCCTAGCTCAGGATAGTAGCAGTTTAACATGAGATCACGCTATATTCCTTTCAGTGATGTCATATCTATGTGAAGTTGTGTTTTTGGCAGTGGCAATGAGAAAAGGCAAGCACCATGAGCGAATCAGCGAGGACCAGAAAATGCGGGTGTCAGTGTACGAGGATCAGGAAGTTGTACAGTTCCCGATAGACAGATAGGTAAGTAATTAGTAAGTAATTGTATTTCTTTAAGAATGAAAAAAAAAGTGTCCTATCAATTTACGCTTTTAATGTCTATTACTTTTTTTAAAATTTATATTTTTAAAAATTCTATTTATTTATTTATTTAATTTATTTTATTTTTATGGTGACATTGGTTAACGAAATCCAATAAGTTTCAGCTGTACACTTTAACAGTAAGGCGTATATATATTTACACTGTGTGTTCACCTCCCATAGTTAGATTTCTGTCTGTCACCACATATTTGACCCCCTTTACTCCATCTACCATCCCCCTCCCCCTCCTCCCTACTCTCTGGTAACCATTAGTCTATAGTCCATGTCCCTGAATCTCTGTCTGTGTATTACTTTTTAAAATAGCTATTAAGTTGTTAGGACAGAAACACTTAAGTTGTTTGAAGGTTCGAAAATTACTTGACACCTAAGACTGTTACGTATTTCTTTTGGCCTGGAGATGCCACGGAAACTCACTGAGACACTAATGGTGCAATGTTTGGGAACCTCTGACACACAGCTGATTGCTGCTTCTTGACAAGTGGGGCCTCTACATCACAGCCAGGGCATCCCTGTGACCCACTTAGGCCTTCCACATTTCCCCATCTAGCTGTAACATCTCCCTGAAACTCATCATTCACAGGCAACCAGAATACTAAGAAGCCCTCATACACTCCGTGAGGGAGATTACAGCAGAGGAACGTGCACGCATGTGCATGCAGAGGTGATACAGGCAACACACCTGGAGATGCACAGAGAGAACCTGAAGCCACAGGGAGAAAAAAATGCATGTCCGTAGACCTCTGTACCCATGTCTACAACATGTACATACTCATCTACTACATGTGACTCGCCCCTAAGCCCACTGGTATGTGGGCCCCTCAGGGAGTTCTGTGGCCCTTGCACACAGCTCAATGCCCTACACAAATGTTTGTTGAGGAACATGACACATAGCTTTCCTCTAGAGCTCAGAGAGATAGCTTCACGAAAACGGCTAATGCCTTATGAGTGCTCACCCTGTGTAGGGTACTATGCCTAATGCTCTACGTGCATTATCTCACATAATCCTGACAACAATCATTGACATACTATTATTTTCCTCTAAGGAAGGAGCGGTTAAGCAGCTAATCCTAGGTCAGGGTTGTTCAGACATTTCTACTGCCCCAGAAACAAGGATTGAAACTGGTGAGATCTAAGAAAATATTTGCTGAATGAATGAATGAATCAACTAATACCTACAGTGAACCAACCAGGCAATCGTTATCAGTTAAGTAACCTTTAGCAAGAAATTAATCAATCCAGAAGATATCATGTACTCATGCTTCTGTTCTCAAGGACAACTGTGCTTTTTTAAGAACTTTTGATATGTGTCCAGCAATTAACATAATCAGAATGAAGAGGGCTGGACAAAAGATATCAACTTTCTCCACCCAATTTTATTGGGTTGATGTCAGTTTGGCTGCCACGCATTGCCTTTATGCTTAGACACTATTTAAAATAAGTAATAACAAATAAAAGCCTGCTGTTCTTAGCCTCTCGAGCCAGAATTAAATAACTCTGGGGACCTTTGAGCATGTTAGCCGATCTGTTGGTGTATTGTGTTTCCCATGTATAAAATGGGAATAGAATATATTACATACTATCACTTGGTAGCATGAAAGAAATCAGTCCACGTAACATGCTTAGTACAGTGGCAGTCACACAGGAAGTTCTCAGTAAACGTTAGTTCAGCCGTGGGTGCATTGGCTCGTGTTCATGAAACTCACAGCTGGTGACAAAGACGTCTCAGACACAAAGGGCTACAGTGATCTGAAGGCATGGGTGCCAAGCCATGGGACACTTCCAACACTGGCATCCCTGCACAGTGGCCAGTATTCACTACCTCCCTGTACTTTATATACCCCTTATCTCGTTAAATCACCATTCTAACTCCATGAAGACTTATCGTTCTCACTGTGCAGGAGCAGAGATTGTGTCTTGGGGAGGTGTCAAGACTTATCCAAGCTCCTGCGGTGGTATCATGTTGCAGAAGGAACAGAGATGAAGAAGGCTCCAACTCAGAATGCCAATCTTCAACCTCTCCCGCCCTAATGCCCACAGCAGATGGTGCTGCCTGGGGCCTGCCACGGTGGCCCACAGAATCCTGCCCTCATTTCTTGGAGCATATCCCATCACATCTTCCTCCCTGTTCCAAAACCTTCAGGGGCTTCCTTTGGTCTCTAGGAGAAAACCCATATTCCTCAGCACTGTATCTAAGACCCTTGGACAGTTGGCTCTTGCCTATTTCCCAGCCTCTTTTGTATGTCAGTCTTTCTCAAACAGGCCAGGCATTTTCATGCTTCCATAACCTAGACCCGGCTGTTCTCTCTGCCTCCTCTTCCTTCCCATCTCTGCCCGCTCTTTAGTCACAGGACAGACTACACTGTTGTAGCTATTCCTTGATAGTCTATTTCCCTCCCTATTCAGAGGTTCGTGTTTTCTTTTACCAAAGACGGGCACCCAGGAAATGTGGGATGGGTGAGAGGACAGGGACAAATGAACTCTGTTCTTCAAGAGCACATAGCCTATAAGGAAATGTGCTCTTTTCTTCTCAAATTAGGATTGTTTGTATTTCAGTTTGAATATGAAGCTGCTGGTTCTAATAAGGGGACTTAGGGTGGCAGCTCAGAGAGGGTCCTCTGAATCAGTATGTCACAGCCCTTCCTCCTAGATGAAAAACAGAAGTAAGAGATCTCATGCCAAGGTAGCTCCACTCTGGAACTGAGCTTGGGGTCTCATGGGGTGCAGGGTACAAAGCACAAAGACCAAAGCTTTATATTGGAAGTCACAGTCCTTGGCACGGTGAGGGTGGAAGGGAGCATGTCAGGGAAGGGCAAGTGATCTAAGCCCCAGCTCCACCTCCAGCACACAGGATGATGACTGAGAATAAGGAGAGAGGCCCCAAAGCCTTGAGAACATCCTGCTCGACTCCCACCCCTGCCCACCCGCATTCCAGGCACACCGACTTCTTGCTGCTCCCCAGGCAGGTCGCCTGCTTCCTACTGCCAGGCCTTTCTTTTGTTGTGCTCTGTCTGCAAAGACCTCCTCTCCTCTATCAACATTCTCCTGGTACCCTGGTACCCAGATAACATACCAATTCCTTTGAGAAGTCGTCTGCCCATTACCTATTCGGGAGGAAGCGAATTCTAGTCTCAGAGCCCACCCCGCCCTTTACCCAACGACAAGGAGCCCAGATCATACCTTGACCATCAGGGGTCCTCAGAAAAGGGGAGCAGGGTGTCTCTTTCCTCTGACTGTTCCCTGTACAGTTAATACTTGGGGTTTTGGTGGAATAAAATCCCACGAACAGTGCAGCACAGGCTGTAAATAAGGGCTAGCATTGGCTCTAAGCAATCTGGAAGTTTGCCTGGGCTTTAAAGATGGTGATATTTGGCCAGAGAGTTCATATGCATGTGCAGAGGTAGGCACAGCCAAAGCATCTGAGGACCAGTGAAGGCCAGAACCTACTATGGGAATGATGCTGGGGGAATGATGGAAGAGAGGCCAATGAGCGTCAGACTGGGCTAGGCTGGGCTAGATCCACAGGCTGGAGAGCTCACGGGCTACCTTCTCCCCCTGTGCCATAGAATGGGGTGGAGGAACAGGAGGAAGACAGGCAGGACATATTATCAGGCTGCTAGGGCTCTAGGGGTAGGTTTATGGTAATACATTAAAAAGTGAAAGTTTGCCTTTAGTTAAAACATTACCCTCTGAGAACCTCTAAGAAAGACTATTTTTACCCATGGGGGGAAAAATGAATGTTTAATCTCTGGACTCCAGATTTACCACCCCAAAGGTAAGAGCTGCACAGATCCTCCCAATAACACCCTCCACTCAGGTTTCAGGACTACATGTGCCCCTTCCTGCTCCTGCAGGGAACTGGGCAGTGGGAGCCTGCGGGGGACTCCCAGCTCCACAGTTACCCTGGCCACGTCCTCTCCCCACTCTTAGCCTCACCCCACCATCTGGGAAGCAACAGAGTAGAGAATGATGCTTTCCCAAGGCTCTTCTTGCTCTGAGGCTGCTAGGAGGGGAATCTGTCCATTTCTGTCTGCATTCCTCCAAGAGAATGAACTTAGCAAGAGCAAATGTTCAGTTACCTTCTGTAGGACAAATCCTAGAGTCACAGGTGTCCTCCGGGATCCCAGAGACAGGCAAGTGGAGATCGAGATAGAGATAGGCACGTCAAGCCAATAGAAAGGCAGACAAATAGACAGGGAACGAGATAACATAAGAGTGTTAGGAAAACACAGGAAAATCTAAGCGGGGCAGACATGTAGAGGCGGACTAAAAAACAAAGGCAAATGGACAGATAGATGGGAATGTGGAAGAGAGAGAAAGGTGTAAAAACAGAATAACAGGAGACAGGAAAAAAGGCAGGCACTGGGCACAAAGGCAGAAGGACAGACAAAAGGTTAGGGCAAGATGAATGGATGGATGGGCAGATAGACCAGAGAAAATGGATAGACAGGTAGACAGGTATTGAGGCAGAGGGCAAAGAGAAAAACAGGGTGATTGGCAATAAACAAGTAAAACAGGCATATCAGTGTGAATCATTCAAGGATAATGGAACAGTAACACTGGCGAATGAGGGCGGAGGGCCAGGCAAAGGAACGGACAGACGCGAAACGGGACACAGACCGGCAAAGGGGCAGCCCACCTCATTCGTTAGGGATAGGGCCTTGTGTTCAGGATACTCCCAGCCCGTCTCACAAGCCTCTGTCTCATTGAAGCGGTGGCTGAGGATGTCCTCCAGGCTGGCATTGGGAGGGGGTGGCCGGAACATGAGGCAGGACTCAGGGTTGCCTGAAGCATCCAGAGGCACGCTCAGGAGCAGCTGCTCAGCAGCACTGAAGTTGAAAGTGTCGTTCTTGACCCAGGCAACTGAACAGTAATGGTCCTCATTCAGGACCATGAAGACGTGGGCAAACATGTGGAAGGAGCTCAAGAAGAAGGGAATAGCCAGCAGTAGCAACAGCCGTATCTGGAAGCGACCGAAGTCGCCTATTTCAGCCAGGACCTCGGAAAATTGAACCATGTCTACCTGTCACCACGTCCTCACCCTGGGGCCACTAAAGAGCTCTGCACCTTGGTCCAGGGTTGCTTGCTCCTTTAGGCAGTGATAACAGCTGCATTAATGTTTAATCCAGCCTTGCCAAGCTCCACCTTCACACCTCAGCTCCCTGGGAAGGATAGAATATGATGGAAAAAAAAAAAAAATACAAAAAACCAGTCAACTCAGGCTTGCAGAATCCGAACATGTTTTATTGAAACACAAGTACCACGAGAAGAAACGAGAGGACTTTCTCAGGCCTAGTACATAGGGATGAGTTTCAGCCAATCATTATATAATATACAGCACACCTTCCCACCCCATACCAATTGGAATGTCCTAAACAATTCACGCCTAGCTCAAACCCCTCTTATCACAATAGAACCCCAATTCTGAGAGTAGTTATAACACTCAGAGGGTCACAAAGGTCCTTTCTAGGGACCAGCCCACATTAGACAGTGGAATATAAGTCAGGAGAGCAGCAAGGACCCAGCCTGTATATTTATTAACTCTATTACCAGGCCAATCAAGCCTCTTGACCCTGATAATCTTACCTTTGTCATGTGGGTTTCTGGTTCCGGGGTCATCTGCAGTACCAGTCAATCCCAGGGCAGCATGAAGGCCAGGAGATCCACCAAGGGCATACATGTCTTTCATTTTCAGCACCAAAGATACTTCAAGAATGCAGAGCAATCGCAGAAGAGCCAAGAGTTGCATTTTGTGTTCTAGTCAAAGAATAGACCATTCACACAATCCCCTGATAAAAACAAATCCGAGCTGCCCCAGAGCAGCCCTGGCCACCCTAGGCATTCTCAGTGATTACAGAAACACAGAACGAAGTCTCCCACTACAATGGCCCCAGCCGTGGAAGCCCAGTGGGTGGCCACTCCTAGCCTTGCTGGAACTGGGATTCTTAAAAGACCAGGGACTAACAAAAAGGCAGGAATTCAAAGAAGAATCTCCCAAAGGCCCCTATCCTTATTCTCCTGGGGGAGTCTTACTGGAGGTAGGCCTAGGGCTTGGAAGGTGTCCGGTTCAGGCACGGGAGGTGAGGAATGATAGAGGACTGGGGGAAAGTACACGTGTATGCATGCGCACACATTCGCATATTCGTTTGTACATTGGAAAGCCTTTTCATGTTTTGAATTTTGAACCGTTTTAAGAGATGGTGCAGGGAACACAAGGAAGCAAGGTTGTTCAGGGAAGTTCTGGATAAATGTGTGCCTGTGCCTATCCAACTGTCAAAACAGCACAGCCTCTGGCCACCTGTCAGGCAGCCAGCATGTAGACCAGGTCAAGGCAGAGCAGACAGTGAAGGACAGAGGCAAGGGTCTACGGCACTGCATACGAGCACTTTCCTCTCTGCTGCCCATCCCCAAATCCCACCAGGCCCGCCGGTGTCCCCAGCTCTATCTTTTTTCCTTCACCTAGCTTCCTTCCATGTTCTTGTCCTCAGCATCGCCTTGATTAATTTTCCAAGAAAACAGATGCTACCAGTTGCCACTGCCTAGTTAGGAGTCCCCATGGGGGCCAAGCGGAAGACCTGAGCCTGTACTCACTTCCCATCACTTCCTCATGCCACTCAGGGAAAGGAGTTTTGCTGCTTTTGGTTCTAAGTAGATAAGGGAGCTGGAGCTAGGAGGCAGAAAGCTTGGGCTCTGCTACACATTCGCTCTGATCCTATGTTTCTTTTACCCCCTGGGCCTCGATTTCTTCATCTGTGTAAAGGGAAAGCTTGACCTAGATGGTCTCTAAGGCTTCTTCTATTTCTTGGTGAGCAATTCTAAAATAAAGATAGATGATGAGGAGACTCCTGACAGATGAGTGAGACATAACAAAAGATCTCCCATGGTTAGAACTATGACCCCGAAATCTTGGTCCAGAGGTGCAGGATACCATTGGCTTCCCTTGACTTCTATATTCCCCAAATTCTAATTTTCTGGGTTAGTTTATTTCTCCTCTTAACCTTATCCCCATATCCCAACCAGTCTGCCAAAGCTGCCTCAGAGTTCCTCGAGGCATGCCTCGGCTCCCCTCTTTGAGGGAGTCCTCGCAGGATCGCTGCAGCCCCAAGGACCTCTGTCTGTCCTGTGGTCTGACTTGGGAGGCTGAGACCAACACCAGCATGCGTGCCGGTCTCTGACTCCCCCAACCAGTCTGGTCACCCCACCATCTTCTGGAAGACTGCGAGATAGGCTTGGGGTTACCTTTGGTTCTTCAGGGAGAGCCCATGGCTTAGGTCTCCATCCTCTTCCTCTCCTCGCACCTGCCCACCTCGATGGCACGAGTAAGACCAAGGAAGGGTGTAACGAGAGTTCTCTAACCACAACGACTCTTTAAGTCGAGACAACAGATTCTTTAAAACAAGTGTCCACTGCCAATCGTCTGTCCACAGAGTAGAGGGTAGTGTTGGAGCGTGTGGCGGGGAGTGGGGAAATATTCCACAAACATTGTTCATACGGATTCATTAGATGGTGTAAAATCTCTCCAAGACTTGAGAATAATTCTAGTAAATAAAAACTGGGTTAGGACTTTTGGGTTCCGGTCCAACATGTAAGGAGCTCCATCCTAACATATAAAACGTTGAACAAACTGAAAAATCGACTCTTAGATTTGTCAGAGAAGTGAGGTCAGGGTAAACTGCTCTCCCTCACAGTGGAGAGCCATACAGGTACATACAGAGAAGTATAACTTACTAAAGCAAAACTCCACAAACAGAAACTTGCACAGGAACTAGAAACAGACTAGGAAAACCTGAATTATAGTTAACAAATTGCTGAGGGCTCATTGTACATAAGGCTGAGAGCCAAAATCTCCAAAAGCGGCGGGGGGTCCCCTCACTTTTCAGATTTACCTCCAGAAGCTCTACCAGATTCTCACGGTGAATATCAGAGAAAAATTCTGTTGTTTCCAGAGGCATGGGAAAAGTAATCATTTTGAAACATACTGAGAACATTTTCTTCTTTTTAAACAAGGCTGACCCTTAAGAGAAACTATCCAAACAGAGCCTAACCTGCTGGGCCTAACTGACCTGGAATAAGGGAAGTACCCAATTCTACCCTCTCTAGCCATCGTGCCTTACTTAAGGGGGAGGGGGAGACTGAGAAGCACTTGTGAAATTCACAGGTCCACTAAAATCTGAGTCTTATCATAGGACTACAGAAGGCTTCCCCATTCCCACGCCTTACCATCATATCACTAAAAGCCTCTTTACTGGAATTCTTTTTACCCAGTGCATCATGTCTGGTTTTCAACAAAAAATTACAAGACATGGTAAAAGTCAAAAACACAGTTTGAAGAGACATGGCAGGCAGCAGAACCAAACTCAGATATGGCAAGGATATTGGAATTATGAGATTGGGAATTAAACAAAAGAAAACAAAACAAAACAAAACTTGGAATATGCTAAGGGATCTCAATGAAAAAAGTGGAGAACATGCAAATACAGATGGGTAATGTAAGCAGAGAGATGTAAATTCTAAGAAAAAGACATGCTAGAGATTAAAATCAGTGCAATAAAGATGAAGAATGCCTTTGATGGGCTCGTTAGCAGACTGGACAAAGCGGAGGAAAAAAATCTCTGAGCTTCAGGATATGTCAATAAGAACTTTGAAAACTGAAAAGCAAAGAGAAAAAAGATGAAACAAACAAACAAATCCGAAGAGAGTATCCGAGAACTATGGGACAAGTATGAAAAGTGTACATAGGCATAATGGGGATACCAGTAGATAGGTATAGAAGAAATATTTGAAACAATAATGGCTGAGAATTCCCTCAAGTCATGTCAGACACCAAAGTGCAAGTGCAGGAAAGCTCAGAGAACACCAAGCAGGATAATGCCCAAAACACTACACCTAGGATATCATATTCAAACTGCATAAAATCAAAGATAAACAACGAAATCATGAAAAAGAAAAAAACCCACCCTATCTATAGAAGCAAATATAAGAATTGTATCAACTTCTCCTCAGAAACCATGTAAGCAAGAAGAGACTGAAATGAAATATTTTGTGTTGAGAGAAAAAGCCACTAACCTGGAATTCCATATCCTGTAAAATTATCCTTCAAAAGATGAAGGAGAAATAAAGACGTTCTTGGACAAAGAAAAATTGAGGGAATTTGTTACCAGCAGACTTGCCTTCCAAGAAATATTCAAAGTTCTTCAGGAAGAAGGAAAATGATGAGTCAGAAACTACATAAAAAAGGGCTGGGTGAGCATCAGAGGAAAAATAGTGAAGGTAAAAGAAAAACTTTTATTTTTCCATTTCTAGGTTGACCTAACACATAACACTTTGTTCAAAATAATAACAGCAATGCTGTATTAGATTATCTATGCGTGTATTAGATTGTAGAGAATTGGCATACTTTCTCAAACGTTTGGTAGAATTTGTGAATCCATTTAGATCTGGCGCTTTCTCTTTTGGAAGGTTATTAGTTATTGATTCAATTTCTTTAGCTTATATAGGACTATTCAGATTATTTCTTCTCGTGTGAGTTTTGTCTTGCCTGTTAAGGAATGGGTCCATTTCATTTGAGGTATCAAATCTGTGGGCATAGAGTTGTTTATAGTATCCCTTTATTATCCTTTTAATGTCCATGGAACCCATAATGATGTTCCCTTTTTTCATTTCTGATGTTAGTAATTTTTGTCTTTTTTTTTCTTAGTCTGGTTAGAGGCTTGTTGATTTTATTGATCATTTCAAGGAACAATCTTTTGGTATTGTTGATTTTCTCTACTGTTTCCAATTTTACTGATTTCTGCTCTAATTTTCTTTTACTTCCTTTGTCTTTAATTCAGTCTTTTACTAGTTTCCTAAGGTAGGAGCTTAGGTTACTTACTCCTTTTACATCTTCTTTTCTATGTATACATTCAATGCTATAAATTTCCCTGTAAGCACTGCTTTTGCTGTACCTCACAAAGTTTGATAAGTTGTATTTTCATTTTCATTTTGTTCAAAATATTTAAAAATTTCTCAGGATTCCTTTTTGGACCAATGTGTTTAGAAGTGTGTTCTTTAATCTCCAAGTATTTTGAGATTTTCTAGCTATCTTCATGTTGATTTCTAGTTTAATTCCATTGTTGTCTGAGAGCAGATATTGTATG